TTTTTTTTCAATTCTAAACGGAGGTGTTTGTATTAACTTGGACATTTTTATTCACAAAATATCCTTTAGCTCCCTCTGGTGTTTTTGAAACGTAAAAAAGTGCACGAGAGGATTCTGCTAATCCCACCCTTCTCAGTTTTAGGGCAGTACTCCACACGTTCCCTCGGAACGCTTCATATATTGTTCAAATGAGTTAATATAATACACTGAAATATAACCAGTATCTTCGTTAACCTTAAATGGTTCACATACTACACTTCTACACCCCAGGAGCAGTTACCCTCCTTTACGATTATGACTTTCTGCACAAAGTTTTCTTGAAATTATTTTTCATGGGAGGGAATAATGATGCAGCGCAAAAAATGAAATGGGCAGTCTGAAGCGAAATAAAAGACCGTCAAAAAATGAAAAGTAGCATTATAGCAGTGAATGTTATGGTTATATATATATATTTTAGTCTATAAAATCAATTTAATGAAGTTCTAATTGAAAAAGATGAAGATATAGTCTTTTATTGACTATTGTCCAGTCATAGGCAAACTGCAACAATTTATAGTTCGTTTGGACGTACAATATAGCAATAACTCCCTTATGAAAATATCTTGTAGAATTACTACTCAAAAAACCTATAGGGGTACTATTTGTAATCCTATAGGATATTCTATAGTGTATTGGACTTTTCAGGATAATATAGGATTATAGCCTCGTGTTGTCCTATAGAGTTGGCCTTTATGATGTACTATATAGGCGAAATTTCTATAGGATAATGTGAAGGACTGTCCTGTACAACATTCTATAGTGTAACCTTTATTACCAACCTTTACACTTTAGAATAAAAGGGACAAATTAGGCCATTTTATATGCACATGTACAGTACATATTTAAACTTATAAAGTTATAAATTTCATGAAGAGATGTGTGACGTAATTTCAACATTTATATTGAATATGTACTGTATATGTTAGTATTTTGCCAAATGAAGTAGAAACATTACATTTGTATCTTTCATAAGCATTCTGAAGTGGTGATAACAAAGGTAGATTATTTTACAAATTAAATATTTTTAAGCAGAATTGGGGTTCCAGACCAAAATAAGCTTTTTTTACATTGTATAATAATAAACTTTAATTGAGTCCTAGTGGTAGGTTATCCATCACAACAAGCAGACATGGACACAAGAGTAGCTTCCATGTAACATTAAAAGACAGAGTAGACAAAAAATTATATTGAAAAAATGTATTTCACTTTTAAATGTAGGCTTGTATATATTCTCTTTTCTCTGAATATAATACAAAATAAACCAAACAAATCAAATTCAATACCTGTACAGTTAGACATGTACAGTTAAAACAATTACCATGCAGGGTGCACCATCCCACTATTACTATTATACATTTTCTGACATTTTAAGATCTTGTGTTAGAGTTTACATCAACCAAATTATGTGGTGAGCATTTTATATTAAATTATCATTATACTCCACTAAAACCTTTTCAGCCCTACTGTATATCCAGAAGAATCCTTCTGAGACACTATACAGTAGGTTCATTTTTTTAGGTATTGTAGGAAAATACAATTTTAAAGGTGTCCTATAGAATTCATATTGGATCTCTTTAGAACCCTCTGGTCCTGTAGTATTATACTGTATATATATAGGTATTTTCTGTAAGGGCTTGTACATTATACACTTCAGAGTATTTTGCCATGTCAACTAATTTTAGAGAATGAAAAATCTTTTTAAACACATGGATTGTTATACCTAAAACAGAAGAGCATTCCCTCATGTAACATATAGAAGATTTCAAGAACAAAACAAAAGTCAACTTCAGCAGTTTTCTGTTGTACATAAGTTTAATACGTGTTTTTTGCCTGGTCGAGCTAAGAGCTTAGTATTTAATTGTGTTTAGACAACAAGCCTTTGTTCTATGTAAATATATAACAAACTTGCTTATATACTAAAATAAGTAGGGTTGCTTTTTATTTAATCGAGAAAAAACATACAGTGGACAAAAATATTTAATAAACAGATTATATAAATCCTTGCTAGCAGAGTAAAACCACAACATAGAGAGGCAAGAAAAGTCATAGACTTTTTATATTTAAAAAGGAGTAAAATTCCTTAAGTTCTTTTCTACTCTATCATAACTCTTTCACATGAAAACATATTGCTGTTTTAATTTCCTGTCAGCCAAATGCATTTTTATGCTACATTTTTACAACATGCCAGATTGTAAAACCCAGACTCTCTGGCAGATTGATCTTCTAGATGACTTGTTATCCTTTTAAAACATTTTTTTTTCTCCAAAACCTACAGTATCCTGCATGTGCATCTTAGGTTATTAATCCTAATCTCCTATGTTGTCATTACACAAGACAAAAATGAAAGAAAAAAAAAACATCATATACTGTAAGTGATTTTTAAATCTTGTTTACACCCTTCTGGTTTAAATTGTTACTGAATAGTCACATACTGTATTTGAAACATGATCAATTAGCCTGTTTTCTAAGCTGTCATTTTTTAGCCATCTGCTCTTACTTCTTACATTCAGAAATTCACTGCCGAGGTGGGTAGCTGATAAGACAAACAGTTCTCTTCAGTTCGTCCTCAACAGTTAACGAAAACTAACTCTCTTCTAGCACTGGAAAGACCTCCCAAGTTACTGTACACAGACAGGAATTATTCTGTATCAAAGACCAACTGTTTAAAAGCAAAGCACTTGTTCCCTCAAACTTAAAAGCCTTAGCCCTGTAATCGTGTATTTTAGATTTTCTAAGCTTGTCCAGTTTATTTAGAACTGACAATAATGAAAAGACAGTCCACATAAGCACATGGTTCCCTTAACGTATTCTACATGTATGCATTCTATTATTTTCCTATGTAACTATAGTCTCTTTAAGAGAATTAGGAATGTACTCTTGTCTCCCAGGACCAGCACTGAATAATACAGTTATTGCATGTTATTAATATACTGTACATGTAGGAATCAGTTTGCGTCTATTTTTTAGAGCCAGGTCTTCTGGAATTGTGTTCCCTTTAGAATCATGGCCGACAGAAATAGTGAATTTTGAGATTTAAAAAAAAAGTATTGTATATTCTTCTTGTGATATCTATTGCACTTATAACAATAGTACTGTGACAAAACAACTTTTGTGAACTCCATTCAAGAACAAAAAAGAAACTGCTCATGTCTTCTAAATCCCACATATACCAGTTTGGGAATTTTCTAAATAAACACCAGAAAACAATTATTCAACAAACCTTTAATTCTACAATACCATCATTAATTACAAAAATCAAACATCATCATTAAGGCATTTTACATATAAAATACCATTATATGGAATGTTCCAATCCATTTTTAAAGTATCTATAACAAAGCAAAGAGTTTATCCACATTACATACAGTTGCTTCAGCTTTAAAATACTGCTGTGCTTAGCAGGTCCAAAACAATTTGTTTTTATTTCTGCAGAAGTGGAGAGAATGAGTATTAAACTCAAAAAAGAAGCATAACACCAGAGGGGGGGGGGGGGAACATATAAAAGGTTTTTGGCAGATCTAGAGGACCACTTGCAGCTTGAGTTTTGATTGTTTTCATGAGAGCTCTATAACAGAACATGACATTTCATGAAATCTCTGAATGAACAGCTTATTTTTACCATTATTATGAAAGTGCTCTTCCAAAACCATTTGGTGGAGTGCTTTACGTGAACGAAACAGCAAGTTTTTTAGATTGTTCCAAGACTCTTAACATTTTGGCTCACACGGCACAATTTTCAACCTTTTTTTGGTCAGTCCAATAAGCTGATCTTGACTGCCTGATCTGTAAACATTAAACTCCGCTTCCACTGCAGGGTCCCTCAGACGATCCAAGAGAGCAATCTAGCTGGAGGATCTTTGTATCACAGGGATGTTCTCATGAATGTATTTCATGCTTCCTTGTTCGGAGAAATCGGCGACTGTGTGCCCATCTCCCTTCAGCACCCATTTTGTGGTAAGAAGACCTTCTAGTCCCACAGGCCCGCGGGCGTGAATCCGTGCTGTACTGATCCCAACTTCAGCACCTACAACAACAAAAAAAGATGTGATATTTATCAGTGAAAAGCTCCATTATGCAGGCAAACAATCTGTACAGTTACCAGCATGGATAGAAATTCTAAAGCTAAAGACTCAAAGATATCAGCACCATGCTTTGTCTTTCTAGGGAACCCAGATGTGAAATGTTTTACCTGTACGATCAGTGTACACTAACTGATGTACAAGCACTGTAACTGCCCCCAAAAAAAACACTCTAGTAAATGAGGGATACAAAGTATATTGAAAGCAGGTGCTTCCACACAGGTTCATGCTTAGTGTTTAATTAACATCCCATCATGCTTGGGGTCATGTATAAAAAAGCTGGTCAGGCTCAGTTGTCCATTGTTTTGGCTCAGTAAGCGGATAAGCACGTGTGGTGGACGTGGACGACAACAGAAGCCTACAGGCTCAAGTGCTTGCTTCCCAAGGTGAAGGGGTTCTGGAGGCTGTTATAGTGTGGGGTGCATTTTCCCCGACATGGTTTAGCCTTCAGAAGGCAAGGTAAATGCCAGTAAATAAAGCCATTCTGAGCAATCACATGGATCCTGTGGTGAAGAATTTCTATCTTGAGTGGAATCTTCCAGGATGACATCCACAGGGCACAAGTGGTCACTGAATGGTTTGAGGAGCATGCTTTGGCTGTTCCAGTCACCGGATCTCAAAACAAATGAACACGTATGGAAGGTTCTGGAGCGGTGTCTAAGACTTTTTTAATATCACCATGAAAAGAAATCCAAATAATGGAATTTCTCATGGAAGAATGATGTCGCATCGCACTTGCAGAATCTGTTCCAAGGCTTGCTGAAGCTTTTCTGGTGGCTCGAAGTGGCCCAATGCCCTATTAAAAAACTTTATCTTGGCGTTTCCTTTATTTCGTCAGTTACTTGTACTGGAGTACAATTATGCTTTTATACAATATAAAGTAGGGTTACTTAATTGCTTTGTTGACTCTGTATTAGAGTTGTTCATTTTCCATATTGATCAGAACAGAGAATACTATTATGAAACACCTGCCTTAAACTAGAGGGGTTGTGAATGTATTTTAACCTGTTTGTGTTTTTAAGCTTTTTTTTAAAAATGTGAGTGTGTTTATCAATTTTAAAAATGTTCTTTAGTTTTACAGCTGATAGGAGACTAGAATAAAGAACACAGAAACCGCAAGCTTTTAATTATCAACCAACTCTTTTCTTCCAAAGGTTTAAAAGAAGCATCTCTTCCACTGCGAATAAATAGCGACTCTGGGTAGCTTTAATTTTAGAATTAAAACACACAATGAAAAGCTACCATCACTGAAATGTATCACTTCAACTCCCTAACAGCTGATCAGACCATTAAAGCAAATAGGTGTCCATTACACCTTGTAAAAAACTCTTAATTCTATAAACTATAAAAACTATATAAACATGATAAAATTAACTATTTTATGGGAAGGGGAAAATAGAAATCATAAACAAAAAGGAGTTTCTTAATGGTTTCAAAAAGTAAGAAGTGGATCAACCAAGTGGTAGTAAAGGTTGAAACTTGAGTTTGTAAAAACATACCAGATCTTCTTTGCATCACCGGTTGCGCAATCACCAAATCAAAGAATTCAAAAGACCAAATTCAAAATATACACAACATGCCATTAGCCAGAAATCCACATAAAGGAAAGAAGTCAAACTTGGTTACACACCTAAGCCAAAACGATATCCATCTGAAAAGCGTGTGCTTGCATTCCAGAACACACAGGCACTGTCCAGCTGTTGCAAGAACTGCTCCGCTGTTTCCTCTGAAAAATGACATTAAAAAGAAACCACAGTATTGTAAGGATGCTCCAGAGCATGGAGTCAGTCTGAGTTCATGGTGGGCCTAATGTTTTTTTCTTCTTTCACCTGATCTGTGTTACACAGTTGGTTTATTTAATTAACCCCAAATCATATTAATCCTACCCTGCTCTGAGTTGTTGTACAGGTGACTTCCACAGTTTATAGTTAATGTCGCATTATACTATTAAAAAAAAATTAAATCTAATAAAAACTGAATCACAAACAACAAGGCAAAGGGTGAGGAACAAAGGAGAAATGGGGGCAATTTTAAAACTGATGTTTGATATTTCAAGAATCATGCTTGGAAACTTAATACAAAAATAATCAAGAAGGCCAACTCCATGAGTAAGATGTAATGCATCTGAACTGAAGTGAAGAGGAAATAATTTTGTAAAAAGGCTTCAAGAAAATAGAAAATAACCCTGCTCACGTTCATCTACAGTACATCTAGAGTTCAAATTACTACACAAGCTCTAAATCTGCTGTTCTCATTTCTTTTCCTAACAGGGTTAATGATATGTCATATAATCCTTCAATTATCAGGAAGCTACTCATCCTTGTGAAGGTTGCAGCAAGACCTAGTCTGTTTCCCAAGCAGTACTGAGAGCACATGCCTGCTCCCCTGTGGGCAGGATGCTGATTGCAGGGCCAGAGATAATTCAGATATGCAATCAAACATATACTGCATGTCTCTGGAACATGAGAGGAAACTGGCAGAAACCCACATGAGTTTGGGGAGAGAGTCCACACACACAGAAGCCCTAGGCTAGGTTCAAACCAAGGATCACTTACACTCAGAACAACCGGACTCTGTATTCAATCTAACTGATTTTAGCACTATGTCACAGAGCACTGTTAACAGACTACAGGAATTCAGCAACTCACCATTCTCGGTCACAATGACATCCGTGTGCGAGCTGCCATACTTGTGAATGTGATCGATGGCTTCCTGCATGCTGTCCACAACCTCAATGCAGCACTCCAAGTCCCCATACTCTGTGCGCAGAGACTTGACTTCTGAGGGGCTGAACGTTAGGTAAGAGGCAAACCTGGGGCCTGCATGAATTTTTACCTGGAAACAAAACCTACACAGGTCAAACTGTATACAATGCAATGTTTCTTAGGATAGCTTTGCATTTAAGATGCACTGTATCCTTCAGTATGACTCTTATTCCACATCACCAAGACTAAGGAGACAAATGTGAAAATACAAGTTTTACAATTTTGATGGAGTGTGTAAAAAAAAATCAAGAACAAGAGGAACCTAATCTAATAAGTTGGTCTAAACCAACCATCTAATTAGTTGGTCTATTTTTTTTGTAAAAAAAACCTGTATGGTACTACATCTCCTACTGGGTGAATACTTGTTTTAGAACAGATTTACAAAAAACATGCAATGGCCATTTTTATAACACAATTAGGCATTTGTAATAAATTTTGAATAAGGGAAATTAAAGGAATCCTTTTAGTATATGCCATGAATATGTGGGTATGGGAAATGAAAGCAATAGGAAATCCTACACTACTGTTATACAATAACCTTGTTACTACTGAGACTCTGACATAATAATGTTGCCAAATACAATAAAACAAGGATTATGTGCAAGTACCAATTCAGACATTCCCTCAAAGTATAAAGTATGCTGTCAAATTTAAAATGCTTGTATTTAAAAAAAATAATTAACAACCTAGTTTAAAGCTGCAGTATTTGAATGAAAAAGGTCTGTGAAGCTCACCCGCTCCACCCTGAGCATGTCAATAATCTGGTCAAAGACAGGAGTCCTCAGGAGGTCTCTGTGCACTAAGAGAGTTTCCATGGCATTGCAAGCTGCTGGGTAGTCACATTTCGAATCTCTGACTGTAAAATTAAAATGGACAGGACATTTTCATGAGCTCTCAATTGTGAAAGTTATTTTTCTACAATTAGCCCCCCCAATAAAAAAAAATGAGAAGGTTATTATAACTGACCCAGTTTCCAGTTTCTGTCCCAGTTAACTTTGTTCACATTGTTACCTTTGGTAACACATTAACTCGCTGTCATATCTGTACACAAGACGGCACACTGTTCACTCACTGATCTTGATGGCTTTGTCCACACTGGCTTCGGAGTCAATGTACACGTGGCAGATTCCCTCGCTGTGCCCCAGCACTGGGATGCCCTTGGCCGCCCTCTGGATGTCCCTGACGAGCTGAGAAGATCCCCGCGGGATTATCAAATCAATCATCTTGTCCAGACGGCACAGGTCCTCCACCTCTTCA